TAGGGAATTCCAATTACTGTAAATTCACCTATTCTTCCATGTCTCAAATATCTGTGGACGCAAGACACACACTGAAATGAGTAAACTATAAGAGCTTCTAAAACAGTAAATGCTACATCCTACCATGTTAAATTTCATAACCTGCTGCTTCTTGTGATATATAAATACTACTTAAGAGAAAGAGTAAGGCTTTCTGTATCATAAAACCAGAAATGAATTCCAGCTTTTGCCATTCATGAGATACGTGATAGTGAGTAAGCCTCTTAATCTTTCTTTCTTTGTAAAATACGAATAACATTCCCAATACTGCAGGGATTTACATGGACTCTCTGAGGTGGTAGGTTATAGCAGTTAAGAACACAGAGCTGGGACCAGCAGCTGGTGTAATGGCCATGTCGCTGGACTTCCATGTAGTTGACTGCGGTTCGAGTCCTGGACCCGGTGGCCATCCTCCCTGGGGGGTAATGTCTTGCTTCCCGTCTGCCTCTGACTTTCTGGCGAGCGCATGTGCCCTATATCAAAAACCTCAAAGAAAAAAAAAAAAAAAAGAATACAGATCCACGGACCAAACTTCCAGGATTTTAATCATAGCTCAGCCATATACTAACCACAAGACCATGAGTGAATTCTGTAACCAATCCACACCTGTATTTACTTACATGTAAACTAGAGAGAATAACAGTGCCTACCTCATAGCATTGTTATGAAGACTAAATAAGTTATGACTTGTAATGTGCCTAGATTGTACCATTCTTTACTATATTCTTATAAAAATGAAAGTGTTTTAGAAATACAAAGTGTTATTTTTATTATTGCCTATTGCTTTTCATTTTTATGGCTATTACCTTGAATTTCATGGTAAGCCAAGCTGATTTTCTTTAAATAAGATACTGCAGTTAAATCAAAGGTCCTCACTGTAGCCTCTGTTCCTAGCTGAGTAACATTAAACACCAGGATGGTATCTTCTTCCTTCTGTAGTTTAGTAAATTCCAAAATCACCTAAAAGAATTAGCACAATGAAAGATGGTAAGAAGTTTGAATCATACTTAAAACAACAAAAACAAACTCTGCTCCACTTACATTATTATAAGAAGAATAGAAACTTTGCTTACATTTCTCTACTTGCACAAATTTATTTAATATGATGGGAAATTATCATCTAGAGAGGCACATAAGTACATCTATAAAAAGTCATGATGAAACACAACATTTTAAAACATCAGTAAACAGGAGTATATGGACTTTCCCATATATATTTTTTTTTTAAGAGAGGTTTTCGCTATAGGGCACGTGCACTCACCAGACAGACAGAGAGAGACTGAGACAGAAAGCGAGAAATCACCCCCCAGGGGGGATGGCCATGCCACAATCCCTTCTCCTCCATTCTCCTCTTGGGATCTTGGGCACACACGCACACGCGCCCGATGTGAGTTTAAGCCACCAGGTCCGAGATGCGAACCGCAGTCGACTACGTGGGAGTCCAGCGACATAGCCATTACGCTAACTGCTGGTCCCCTTTCCCATACTTTTTGTTATGCACGTATCTCAAAACAAAAATAACTTTTGGTGGGGATCAGTAGGTGGCGTGGCGGTGAAGGGCACTGGACTCCCACATAGCCGACTGCGGTTCAAGTCCAGGACCTGCCAGCTTGCTTTCTCACTTTCCCTTTATCTCATTCTCTTTCTATCTCTCTCTGGTCAAATTTAAAAAATGATAATAACAAATAACATTAAATAAATAATTCTTTAAAAAATAAATAAATGATTTTGGGCAATAGAAGCATTCCCACTTGGCAATAAAAAAATAACATCTCATGTTTTTGAAGCTGGAGACAAACGTGGTTATGTGCTCACATGCATTTATGAGTGTGGTGGGCAACAGGGAAGATAAAGCGTACTGCATTTTTATATACTGGATATTAGGTATAGCTTAAGATAGTTTATAAGACAGTGACAGTGACAGCATATTACAATATACATACTTCTGTAATTTCAAACTTAAGTAGAAGATTAATGAGCTCCTCATTTGGGGCCTCTACAGCTTTTTTAAGTTCTGATCCTTTCATACTTTTACCAGTCTGTGAGTCTCCATCTTCAGCATCAAAATATTCATCATCGGACTCTATAAGATAAATAGATAATTTGACTTAAGACACTGTCCATAGACGCTGCATAAAACACACCTAAATGTTCCAAAAGTAAAAAGTAAAATTATTAGATACAGCATCATATTCAGAATCAAAATAGTTCTGATGCCTTTTTTAAAGAATGATTTATTTTATTTTCTTTATCATTATTACTACTATTTTTTTATTTTGTTATAGGGCACATGCATTCACCTGAGACAGACAGAGAGAGGGAGAAAGTGAGAAAGCAGGCTGTCATGTCCGAGAACTACAGTCAGCCGTATGAGAATCTAGCGCCTTAACCACCATGGTACCTGTTGGCCCCTCCAATACGTGTAGGGAATTCCAATTACTGTAAATTCACCTATTCTTCCATGTCTCAAATATCTGTGGACGCAAGACACACACTGAAATGAGTAAACTATAAGAGCTTCTAAAACAGTAAATGCTACATCCTACCATGTTAAATTTCATAACCTGCTGCTTCTTGTGATATATAAATACTACTTAAGAGAAAGAGTAAGGCTTTCTGTATCATAAAACCAGAAATGAATTCCAGCTTTTGCCATTCATGAGATACGTGATAGTGAGTAAGCCTCTTAATCTTTCTTTCTTTGTAAAATACGAATAACATTCCCAATACTGCAGGGATTTACATGGACTCTCTGAGGTGGTAGGTTATAGCAGTTAAGAACACAGAGCTGGGACCAGCAGCTGGTGTAATGGCCATGTCGCTGGACTTCCATGTAGTTGACTGCGGTTCGAGTCCTGGACCCGGTGGCCATCCTCCCTGGGGGGTAATGTCTTGCTTCCCGTCTGCCTCTGACTTTCTGGCGAGCGCATGTGCCCTATATCAAAAACCTCAAAGAAAAAAAAAAAAAAAAGAATACAGATCCACGGACCAAACTTCCAGGATTTTAATCATAGCTCAGCCATATACTAACCACAAGACCATGAGTGAATTCTGTAACCAATCCACACCTGTATTTACTTACATGTAAACTAGAGAGAATAACAGTGCCTACCTCATAGCATTGTTATGAAGACTAAATAAGTTATGACTTGTAATGTGCCTAGATTGTACCATTCTTTACTATATTCTTATAAAAATGAAAGTGTTTTAGAAATACAAAGTGTTATTTTTATTATTGCCTATTGCTTTTCATTTTTATGGCTATTACCTTGAATTTCATGGTAAGCCAAGCTGATTTTCTTTAAATAAGATACTGCAGTTAAATCAAAGGTCCTCACTGTAGCCTCTGTTCCTAGCTGAGTAACATTAAACACCAGGATGGTATCTTCTTCCTTCTGTAGTTTAGTAAATTCCAAAATCACCTAAAAGAATTAGCACAATGAAAGATGGTAAGAAGTTTGAATCATACTTAAAACAACAAAAACAAACTCTGCTCCACTTACATTATTATAAGAAGAATAGAAACTTTGCTTACATTTCTCTACTTGCACAAATTTATTTAATATGATGGGAAATTATCATCTAGAGAGGCACATAAGTACATCTATAAAAAGTCATGATGAAACACAACATTTTAAAACATCAGTAAACAGGAGTATATGGACTTTCCCATATATATTTTTTTTTTAAGAGAGGTTTTCGCTATAGGGCACGTGCACTCACCAGACAGACAGAGAGAGACTGAGACAGAAAGCGAGAAATCACCCCCCAGGGGGGATGGCCATGCCACAATCCCTTCTCCTCCATTCTCCTCTTGGGATCTTGGGCACACACGCACACGCGCCCGATGTGAGTTTAAGCCACCAGGTCCGAGATGCGAACCGCAGTCGACTACGTGGGAGTCCAGCGACATAGCCATTACGCTAACTGCTGGTCCCCTTTCCCATACTTTTTGTTATGCACGTATCTCAAAACAAAAATAACTTTTGGTGGGGATCAGTAGGTGGCGTGGCGGTGAAGGGCACTGGACTCCCACATAGCCGACTGCGGTTCAAGTCCAGGACCTGCCAGCTTGCTTTCTCACTTTCCCTTTATCTCATTCTCTTTCTATCTCTCTCTGGTCAAATTTAAAAAATGATAATAACAAATAACATTAAATAAATAATTCTTTAAAAAATAAATAAATGATTTTGGGCAATAGAAGCATTCCCACTTGGCAATAAAAAAATAACATCTCATGTTTTTGAAGCTGGAGACAAACGTGGTTATGTGCTCACATGCATTTATGAGTGTGGTGGGCAACAGGGAAGATAAAGCGTACTGCATTTTTATATACTGGATATTAGGTATAGCTTAAGATAGTTTATAAGACAGTGACAGTGACAGCATATTACAATATACATACTTCTGTAATTTCAAACTTAAGTAGAAGATTAATGAGCTCCTCATTTGGGGCCTCTACAGCTTTTTTAAGTTCTGATCCTTTCATACTTTTACCAGTCTGTGAGTCTCCATCTTCAGCATCAAAATATTCATCATCGGACTCTATAAGATAAATAGATAATTTGACTTAAGACACTGTCCATAGACGCTGCATAAAACACACCTAAATGTTCCAAAAGTAAAAAGTAAAATTATTAGATACAGCATCATATTCAGAATCAAAATAGTTCTGATGCCTTTTTTAAAGAATGATTTATTTTATTTTCTTTATCATTATTACTACTATTTTTTTATTTTGTTACAGGGCACATGCATTCACCTGAGACAGACAGAGAGAGGGAGAAAGTGAGAAAGCAGGCTGTCATGTCCGAGAACTACAGTCAGCCGTATGAGAATCTAGCGCCTTAACCACCATGGTACCTGTTGGCCCCTCCAATACTTTTTATAAAGTCTCACAGTGAAATTCACCCTCATATGTAATGATCACATGTGAAATCAAATAGCACTACTCTCTTTTCTTGATGGCTCTGTTGTTTTGGTTTAGTTTATTCATTCAGTATTCAACGCAGTATGTATTGAACATCATCACCTACCCTCTGTACTAGGCTGTGTCAGCTACTAAGGACACCAGAGTCACCAGGACAGACACGGTCCTATCCTCATGAATCTTACACTCCAGTTCAAAATTAAAAGAGAATAGATAATCCAGAGACAGAAACAAGGGATCATACAGAGATCGGGTCAAAAAAGTAGCTCATTTAAAACATTTACATAGGGGCCAGGAGGTAGCATGGTGACTAAAGCACATTGTCACGGTCCCACATGGCAGACCGTGGTTCAAGTCCTGAACTTGGTGGCTTGCTTTCTCACTTTCCCTCTCTTATTAAATAATAATTAAATACTACTAATAATAATAAATAAAATTAAATAAATAACTTTAAACAAAATTACGTTAGTACAGTCTAGCCACAAAAATCTCTAGATTTATCCAATGAAGAAACTTGGGATTGAAAAAGGTAAGTGACTCAGGGACCAGCAGTTAGCGTAATGGCTATGTCGCTGGACTCCCATGTAGTCGACCACATAGGTTATTAGCTCCTCTAGAAGCAGAATCAGTAAATGACTCTAATACTTACAGAAGTCCTTCATATTCTAAAAATCTTTCTCTCTATATAAGACAATTGATAGCCTTGATTTAACAGAGAAAGAATATTTGACTTTTCTTACCTGATTCTACTCCATCTAGCAACAATGGAGTACCAAGTAGACCTTTCGTTCCACTTGAAATAACAGGAATTGAAGATTCCTAGCAAAGAATATAAATAGTAGTCTTAAAAATACTGGTTTAACAGTACCAAATGTACATAAATGAATGAAAGGCTGAAAAGTAATAGAGGAGAGGAAGAGACGGAAAGATACATATACACACAATACACAAATCTTCCAACGAAACACATGAAGCAATTAACTAACGAATGGATGCGACGTAGAAATTAACACTACCATCTGCACTTTCAGAGACTAAACTAAGTCACCTCTAGTAGATATGCCTGTCACGGTATCATTTAGTTGCTGTCTCTTACATAGTCAAGCACATCTTTCGACTTTCTCAAATTTCATTTGTAAGTTAAATGAAAATCCAACATTTTTTTTATGCTGTAATGATCAATTTTAATTAAAGTGACCTAGAACTTTAAAGTCTAACATACAAGGAAACTGTATACCAAATGTTTTCTTTGCAACTTTTTAAAGAATCCTATCTTTATTTAAAACACACTTTAGAAATTTGAAACATTTTCCTCTCAGTTCTATAATTTTGGTCTTTTCACTTATCATGCTTACCCTAAAACTGATTTTCCACCACTACTCTAGAACAGTAGTGAAAAAAAGAGACTTCACATTCCTATTGTGTCTGCTTACCTGTCTCTCTGGAGACTGTGCAGATCTCTGTGGCAAAGGTATGCTGCTCAGTAAACACAGCACAGCTTTCATCTTCTGATCGGAAATCCTCACATGCATCAGTGGAAGTCCTCCTGATACTTTGAATCTAAAAATACAATTCCACTGTAAGGTCTTAATGCCAGGGACTCTGGATTGTAGAGACGGGAAGGGACTGGGGAAGAGACTATCTCCCTGGGTCAGTAGCCCCAGACCTGTTTTAATCAAATTACATGAACTCCTCATTTAGACAACATTGTGAGAGAATGGGAAGTTCTAGGGAACCAAGTGTCTGGAAAATTTAAACATATTCCTATGCAATTAAACTTGTTAAGGAATTTTTATTGAAAATCTTTCCAAAGACAATTCTCTACTTTTCAAAACAAAGAACACTACTATTCCCTGATGCCAAAGATGCCCCATAAAAGAATCAAAGAGTGTCTACCCCATCACCCTCGACCCTTTTGCCTGGCTTTACTTCTTTTTGTATGTAGCATCTGGCAGCACCTGACACATCAAATGTCCTTGTCTCTTTTAGGTATGTCTCCTCTGATCGATGTAAGTCCCATGATGACATCTGTTTTACTCATAGGCAATCACCATGTTTTTTTATCCATCACTTAGTTTTTGGCAATTGCTTCTATTCTGGCTCCCTACCAGTGTAACTGCCTCAGTCTGTTTGTCTCAATAGAGATGGCAGCCACTCGCTCTCACGAAGCTCTTTGGGGTTTCTGTTTATCTTTGGCTTTCTGACAAAGATAGGAACAGCTTAAGTTGACACATGTCTAATTGCAAGCTGGGTTACTGGGGTACAGTAAAGCAGTGGTTAGAGGGAAATTTATACTACTAAATGCAAATATTAGAAAAAAGAGGACCAAACAGGTGGTGTAGAGGTTAAGGTGCTAGGCTCCCACATAGCAGACTACAGTTTGAGTCCTAGACCTGGCGGTTTGAATCTCAAGCTGGGAACAAGTGCGTGTGTGCCCAAAATCTCATCAGAGTGAAGGAGATGGGACTGTGGTATGGCCATCCCCCTGGAGGGTGATTTCTCACTATCTCTCTCATTGTTCTTTCCCTCTCCTCTCTAGCGAGCGTAGGTGCCCTAAGACAAAAATATGAAGAAAGGAAGAAAAGAAAGTAAGTCAGTCGGCCTCAAATCGGTGACCCCTTAGCTTCCATCTCAAGAAACTAGGCATGAAAATCAAACAAAACCCGAAACAGGGACAGCAGAAGGCCTAGAGATTAAGCAGCTAGCTTCCTCACACCAGAATGTGGTTCAAGTCTCAGACCTGGCCAAGTGAATGTGCGTGTGTGCTCAAAATCCTGAGAGGAAAACGGAAGAGAATGAATTGCAGTGTGGCCATACCCCACTGGGAGTGATTTCTCACTTTCCATCTCTCTCTGTTTCTCTCCTGTGAGCGCACACACCCTGCAGCAAAACTGGAAAAAAAAAAAAGTCAAGGACAAACAGAAACACTAAACATCAGAGTGAAAAGCAGTAAAATAAAAAAAACAAACACAATAAAAAAATAATTAAGACCATAAGTTGGTTCTTTGGAAAGATGATCAGTAAAACTGATAAACCTCTAGTCGAACTGATAAGGAGAAAAGGAACAAATTACTTAAATGGGGAGTAAGAGAGATTGTATCACTACAGATTCTTCAAGTGTTAAAAAGGTAAGAAGGAAATATTGATACTATGAACAAGTTTGTGCCAATAAACTCAGTAACAGAGATGGACAAACTCTTTGAAATGCACAATCATTCAAAATACACTCAAAACTCTCCCTCAAAACACTTAAAGTGCACAAAAGATCACTCAAAAAAGTAGATCTTGAATAGCTCTCTCTCTGTTAAATAAAATGAATGTGTTGTTAACTCAAAAAAACAGCTCCAGGCCCAGATGGCCTTATTAACAAATGCTGCCTAACATTTAAGAAAAAAGTCATATGAATGCTATACAACATCTACCAGAAAACTCATTCCACAAGAGCAACACTTACTCTGATACCAAAATATGAAAACACACAGAAACTGGGGACCAGCAGTTAGCATAATGGCTATGTCGCTGGACTCCCACGTAGTCGACCGCAGTTCACATCCCAAACCCAGTGGCTTAAAACTCACACTGGTCACGTGTGCGTGCGTGCCCAAGATCCTGAGAACAGAATGGAGAAGGGATTGCGGTATGGCCATCCCCCCAGGGGGTGATTTCTCACTTTCTATCTCTCTGTCTCGCTCTGTCTGGCGAGCGCACATGCCCTATAGCAAAAACCTCTTCAAAAAAAAACACAGAAACTGATATTTCTCATGAACATGGAATTAATACTTTATAACAAAATTTTTAGCAAACCAAATCCAAAATCTTTTTAAATAATAATGCATCATTACCAGGTAGACTTTCCTAGTAATTCAAGGTTGATTTAACATTCACTTAATAAAGGGTATCAATGAACTACTGGTACAACCACGTGAATGAATCTCAAGGTAATGTTGCTGAACAAAAGAAGCCAAACAAAAAGTTAAAAGACTATGATCCCATTAATGCAAATCCTAGAAAATTCTCACGAAATATACTGGTCTATCAGAAAGCAGATCGATGTTACCCAGTGGACAAGAGGTGAGGAGTAGAAGAGGTGAGAGACGGCGGGAAGACAAAGGGGTACAAGGAAACTTCCGGAGGTGATGAATGTGTTCAGTATCTTGAGTGTGATGACAGTGTCACAGACACACAGATGTGTTCACACTTGGCAAATTGTACACGTTAAATAGATATAGCTTATTAGATGTCAATTATGCCTCGATAAAGCTCTTTTTAAATGACAGCATAAATATTTCCTAATTATCTACTTAAATTCAAAGTTCAGTTTCTGTTTTGTAACCCCATAAATTTTTCTCAGGACCTTATGTGATTTTATGATCAAAAAAGCCTCCAATTTGGGGAAAGATTTTTATTTCACTGATAATGAACTTTGGAGTGGATCCAACGTCTATAGAATATAAAAGGCCAAACTCTTCTGAAACATGGCAGTTGACATATAATTTATTTCTTAAAAATAAGTATTTGCTACAAAAGACAATAATCATTATTTTTCTGTAGTCTACAGAAATCTTTGTATCCTTAAAAAGCAGTAACTGATGCAGACATAGCATACCTCACTGATTTCCAATACGAGAAAAGCATACGTTACCTGGCCATTCGGATGTCTTTTTCAACCATTGCCTTGGCCAACTCGACATGAATATCCATGGGTTGCAGTATATGCATAGCTGAAGGATGCTGAAATCTACACTTTTTCCAATTTTCCTCTTTAAAAAAATCATTTAAAACGATAAATGACTGGTTTCCTAAATTATCAGATATCCTGCAGAAATCATTCTAAGGTATTAAAACAATTAAGAAACAGACTAAATGAGCACCAAGTTTTACTTCTTTCAGCATATATGTTAACTAATCTCCATTCCTAAAATACAGACCAACAGGACCAAAGACTGTGGTTGTTAAGATAATTCTAAATGTTTATTTAAAGAATGTTCAGATGATAACATCTTGCACTTCAAAGCAAATGGGGGGGAAAAGACATAAATTTATTACACTGATTCCAGAATTAGTGATCTAGGTGGGTGATTACAGTGAAAAGAAGGGGAAGAAAAAAAGAGGTTTATGAGGTTCTTAGGTAAGCACAATAATTGCACTAGTTTAGCAAGCAACTTCAAAGCAAAAACAGTTTTATCTAACAAAATTTTATCACAAAAAAAGTGTAATGATGCCTTTCTTCAGATAAAACAATCCAGAGAGATTTTTTTTTCCCAGAGACTGCAGAGTTCTATGCAGATCTTTATCGATGGCAATGACCGAACATCTCTTATCATTTATAATTCAAACAATCATTCTTAAGAACATACAAAACAAAAAACAGTTTTAATGGTCTATGTAAGTACTTCCCTACAAGGAATTAATAGGCTACTAATTTTAAAAGTGAAATAGGGCATTATATATTTACATTTTAATATAAGGGGACTTCAAAAAGTTTGTTAAATGGAATTAAAATACAAGTTTATCTTAGTGCAAACAAAATTTTGAAATCCATGCACAATTTCTTCATAAGTATTTCCCATGCTTTGAAGACCCCCAGATAAATCTTATCACTCCCACTAGAATATGAACTTTGCTCAGAGATTGCATCTCCATCCGCAAAGTTAGGATATTTAATAACTACTTGTTGTTTCTAGAAACTAAATTAGTATAAAGAGCCAAAAATCTTTAAACAGAAGAAAACATCGAAACTATTGAAAATAATTAAATTAATTACCTTTAAGGTTTTACGACTATACCTACTAATCTATAGATACCCATTTCTCAGATATCTACAGAAGGGGAAAATGTAATATTGCTGAAATAAATGGTAGGATAATATAGTAAATTATTTAACAATAAATGTGGGACCAGCAGTTGGCATAATGGCTATGTCGCTGGACTCCCATGAAGTCGACTGCGGTTTGAGTCCTGGACCCGGTGGCTTAAACTCACGCCAGGCACCTGTGCATGCATGCCCAAGATCCTGAGAGGAGAATGGAGGAGAAGGGACTGCGGCGTGGCCCTCCCACCTGGGGGGCGATTTCTCGCTTTCTGTCTCTCTGTCTCTCTCTGTCTGGTGAGCGCACGCGCCCTATAGCAAAAACTTCTGCAAAAAAAAAAAAAAAAAAAAAAGAAGAAGAAGAAAAAAATTTAACAATAAATTTGGCAAAGCAACATTAAGACATCCCAAAATCATGGGTCAGAAGAATCTGTGCCAACTGCAACTTCTATTTTTTTATAGTTTTTAGTCACATTACGAAAACACAGGCCATGAGAGAACTTGGATTCAAATGGTGTTAGGTACCCTAATATGAAAAGCCCAATTTTCATTTCTATTTGTAATTGTGTCCATCATTCACACCAATAGGCTTTTATTTGGTCTTTATAACTTATCAACATTATGTGTGTGCAAAATGGTTCTCAGAGTTGATATACATGCACACATACACACACACACACACACACACACACACACACACAAGGACCCTTCAGATAGCTTGAGGAAAATGTGTATTACAAAAAAACTATGTATGGATTCTAAATTGTTACATGAAGATAAACTCGTACCTCATTTATTATTGTTTTAGAGGTTTCTGCCTTAGAGTGCATGTGCTCACAGGAGAGAGAGACAGCAACATCCCCGGTGGGATGGCCATGCCATAACACCTTCTCCTCCATTCTTCTCCTGGGATCTTTGGCACACACGCACATGTGCCTGGTGGGATTTCTAAGCCACCAGGTCCGGGACTCTAACTGCAGTAAGCCATGCAGGAGCCCAGTGATGTAACAACTATGCCATCTGTTGGTCCCAAAATAAACTGATACTTTCATGCCATTTTACATGAACTTTTTGAAGTACCCTCATATCAGAGCTATTTGACATAATTTCAAGATCTTAAAAGCTGAAAAGGACCTTACCTGCTCTTGCAAAAAGTAGCTGTACACTCTTTATTTCAACATCAAACTTGTCATATGCCTTATCCATTATTTCTTCCAGAGATGAATTAGTAGTCTTCTGTAAACCTTGATCTTTACTGTTGAGCTAAATGAAGAAAAAAAATTTTTCACAACAGATATGTACATACATCAACATATTTAGTTGTGTATTCTTAAGACCTATCTAAAATGAAACTACCATTAATGAATGACAATTTTGCTTGATTTTCCATTAACTATTTATAAATACTTCATTAGAAATGTAGTATTTCAGCATACATTTCTCTTTTATTTGAGTAACAGGTGCTCAGCACACTGCCATTAATTAGGAGATCAGCTATGCAGCTGCCTGCCTTAAACAACCCGTCTCAACATGCCATTCTTCCTCTTTCTGGCTCTCAGAAGTTACTGTCACTGTGGCTCAGCTCCACGACAACCACCCTATACTCTTCACCATAAAATAGCAGGGTTGGGGCCAGTAGGTGGTGTGGTGGTTGGGGACGCTGGACTCCCACATGGCTGACTGTGGTTCAAGTCTCGGATGTGTTGTCTTGCTTTCTCACTTTCCTTTCCTCTCTATCTGTCCCTCTCTGGTCAAAACAAAAAATAAATAAATAAATAATGTTAAATTTAAAATTCTTATAAATAAATATGTAAATAATACTAAAACAAAATACCAGGATTTTCTTTCTTCTCCCCATTACACCACAGAAATAATTAGGCCGCTAGAATTCTGCTCTAAATCTCTTTTTTCTGTTCCCCATGGAACCCAGGATCAATACAGGATTATATTTTTTGAAACCTTCCCCTTTTTTCAGTGGCATGTGTTCCTACAGGATTCAAAATGCAAAATCTAAGAGTTCGCTTACTCTACTTAGTTGCTAACAGTAGTTGAACAAATACATGTAAGCACAACTATGTGCATATATGTACAACTCTCTATTGTATAACCATATATGACAAATAACACTGTCCAGTTAAACTCAAGAAGCTATGAAGACTAAGAATGCTTCTCTCCAATAAGCAGTAGACAAAAGAAATTGTATCCCTAATGTCAAATCATCCATCTTTTCAGAAAAGTTTGGAGTTTTTGTGGTCGATTTAATAGTCATAAAATACTCAACCTAAGCTAGGTTTGACAAAAGTTAAAATAAATAAATAAATAAATAAATAAATAAATAAATCTAGGTTTATTTTAAGTGAACTCTAAAGAATAAACAACAAACTACCAAATACTGGGACATCAGAAAAATTATAACATGTTTTTCTAGGCAAAAATGTGTGACTTTTTTTTAATTATTTATTTCATTTTATTTATTATTCATTCATTTACTTTCATTTTACCAGAGAGAGACATACACGCAGAGAGAGAGAAAGAGGGAAAGTGAGAAGGCAAACCACCAGGTCTAGGACTTGAACCGTGGTAGGCCATGTGGGAGTGTCTAGCACCTTAACCACCACGCCACCTGCTGGTCCCAAATGTGTGACTTTTCTAACGACCCAATAGCTACCAAGCTGGGCAAAGATGGGCAGACAAAAATGCATATATGCTTACCTGAAATGTACCAAAATCCAAAATGAGGAGATCTGACTTTTCATGGTGAAAACCTGTCTGTGGAACTATTAGATAAGAAGGTTTCAGATTGATCCTTAAATCAAGGACTTTGCGAGTTTCAATAATATGTGTAAGCCCTACAGAAGACAAAGAAATGATGGAAGATTAGACGGTGAAGTTCAAATATGTAATAACAGTATTAACAACTAGAATAAAGACTTCATTTGAAAAGTATTATCAAGGAATGCCAGTTCTCTCAGATTCTCAATTCAGCACATAAGGTGAAAATCACAGAGTCAGTGAGAAACAACCACATCATAGGAGAGTAAAATAAATCCAATGTAGACAGTATTTTACCGAGGGAATAGAATAATTCAATATTATTTGATTAAGCAACCAGATAAAATAGTTGGCCTGAGTTTAGAGAACACACTATATAAAAGTATGTATCTTTAAAACCAGATTCAGGACCAGCCCCAGAATCCCATAGTTAGGTGCTGCAGGTAGGGATCTGGTTCCCTCATAATGAAACAGGGTTTGACTCTCACCCCAGTGGCTTGAGAAACATGCTGGGCACATGTGCATGTGTGCCCAAAATCCTGAGGGGATGGAGAAATGAAAGAAAGGTATTGAGGCATGACCATGCCCACTGGGGGTGCTCTCTCTCGCTCCCTCTCTGGTGAGCACAAATACCCTCAGATTGTAAAGAAGATGGAAAAAATATAGATGTAGGGGTCAAGGCACAGTGCAGCAATGAAGCAACTGGTCCCGCATGGGAAAGGGCCTCACTTCAAGTCTGAATGTCCCCTGAGCATGCTGGGAGCTCACACATGTGCCCACCTTCCCAGGTGGCAGAGTTGGGAGTGGATGATGGCATAAAGATCATGATGGAGGTACTTGTCTGTGTCTCTTT